TCTTTCGATGGTTAAAGTTCTGAGTCCGGAAGCTCGATTGGGGGGATCCCCATAGAAACTTTGTCTGAGGTGTTCCCAGACCAGATTCTTGTATGTACTAGCAAGCACAGGGCCCGGCACAGTCCATTGCCCCGATCAGCTGGTGGTTGTAATTGCTGGGTTGGTTCTGTTTCCATCCCTGTCTTCCACTGCAACCAATGGATGTTTGCAGTCCAGCCTGGTTCTGCCCAGCACATACTCAGTCTTCACATAAACCAGTGGGAGCTGCAGCCTAGTCGGACCAACCCACAATAACCACCACCAGGCCCGCCCCCTACCCTGGTTTGCCAGTATGTGTGGCATACTAGTCCAGTCTGTCCCACATCCCCTTCTGCTCTCATACATGTCAATGGGTATTAAAACCTTGTTCCATCTAACCAGCTCAACTATCCAGCCTTCATGGATGTTGTTGGATGTCTGTTTAGCCACCACAGCCCCTGTCCAGTCTCTGTGATTCATTGGCTGATATGACTAAACTGATGGATACTTGAGAACAATAAGTAGTAAATATGCCCCTTGAGTGATTGTGGATGTGCTTAGTTAAGGGTAAAACCTGTACTGAAGGTTGGAATTTTTTTTAGTAGTCTTCCTGATTGCTTTGCATATTAGTTTTGCTTTTCTTTTTTTCTTTTTCTTGTTTTTTTCTTTTTGCAAGTTATATCTGGTAAAATATAATTATCTTTTGAAAACAACTTGTCCTAATAGCTAGCTACAATCAGGTATATCACTGAGGCAATCAGTTGTGCAGGATCCAACTATAAGACCTGTAGAGACCATTAGGATGAAAAAACCTTTTGCATTATAGCCCCTAGTGCTCTGCATGCACATCTGGGTCATCAGCTGCCATGGATAATGCTTGCTTTCCACAGCACCACAGCTCAGGCAGAGCCCTGGGCAAGGCATGGCTCAGCCTGTCATCTGAGCAGGTGGCTCCACTTGAGTGATGTGGGAGGGAGAAAGATAACCATCAGAGATGAGCGGTTCTGCTTTGGCCTTTTCAATTTTGTTATTTCTTAAAATCAGTGAGATCGAAAGAAAGTAAGGGATATATCTTAAATGGCACTAGGCAGACAAAACTGGGACTTGAATGTGAGTCTTTCTGAGCCTGTAATTCATGCTTTAATCTGTGATTGCTTACTGCCTCCTGGCACCAGCAGAGGAATGCCTGTCATGAAGCCCAGCCATGCTTTCAAGGTGACAGATGACCCATCTACTTTGCTCCCTAGCACTTTGTGCAGAAGCCTGCTGGAGTCTAAGTTGGTCAGCCTTCCCACCCCAGAATCCCTTCTCATCTGCCCTTATTCCCACAGCCTCCCTGACATGGTGAGGCTATATCCGAGTGGTCTCTAACCAACCAGGTACATCTGTTTTCTCAGCCCTAATTATGGGATGACTTCAGGGTTACCTATCTTCATCTCTTCTCATGAATATAGGAATATAATTTTTTTCCCACTGTTACCCTCATGAAGCAAACCCCATGATTCTCCACATTTAAGATGTCCACTCTTAAGTAAGAGACTACTGGACATATGACTGCTTATGAAGGACTGGATTATTGTAATAATATGGGGAAATTCACCCAGGGAATGGGTATTTCGGAAGGGGATTGGGATATCCCAGACCCTATGCAATTGTACCATAAGGCTTAAAATAATAATAATAATAATAATAATAATAATCATCATCATCATCATCATAGAGATGTCTGCCACTGTCACAGGCTGTCTTAACCAGCAGTAAGCCAGGGCTCCTTGTCAGTGACTGCTTCTATTAGGCTTCAGCTTTCACACTTCCTTTATTGGGAACAATTTTTTTTCTTTTCAAAATGTATTCCCCCTTCCCATATGCATTTTAGTGTGTATTTATCACAGCCATTTTAGAAAATATAAATAAGCCGAAAGAATTTTTACCACACTTAAGATGTAATCAGTCTTTTAAACACAATTTTAAGTGCACAATGCACAATAGCTAAATAGAAGTACAACATTGTACAACAGATGTTGTATTTTCCTTGTCATAGCAATCTATAAGTCAGGCCAACCAAGGAAGCCAATAAAAGTGGGAAAAGTGGCTGGGGCCTCACAGAGAATGGAGCACAGCAGACTCCTGGCTCCCACCTTCTAAACCATAGTGTATCACACCATGGGCCCTGGCAAGCTGTGCTTTCCTCTGCTAGAAAAATACCCTGCCCTTTGGGAGCCAGCAGAAACCACCCAAGTTCAATATTGCCATAGCTTCTTCCAGGAGCAGGTCTGGAAGAGGTGTCCTGGTCTCTGTTTCAAGGATGTCAATGGCACCGGCTCAGAATCTAGACTGGCCACTTCTGAGCACAGAGCACAGTGATTCTGTCTACACACACCCTCCAGCTCATCTAATTAAGTGCCCCTCCAATGTACAGTTGGCACAAAGAACTGAAGCACCAGTGAAAAACCAGATTTTTACTATTCCTTTTAAGTTAGTTGAGGTGTGTGTGTGTTTGGCTCATGGCTTCCTTCAGTAGTGAGTTGGAGAATGCGAGGTTAGGAGGGTAACATGTTAATTAGGCATCACTAGCAGTTATGCAAGCACCCATGGAAAACAGATGCCATGTAAATGGAGGTTTACAATTACGATTGCAGTGTAGGTCAGAAAAAAACCATAGACAGTATCTGGTGTTTCTATGAAGTTATATGTGAAGGCTCTAGGATTTGAGAAACCAAATTCTAGAAACCAAACACAGTACTTCGACTTTGGCAATATAAAATAGCAGTGGGCAGTAGGCACACAGAGACCTAAATCAGACCTTTGATGTTACACAGAGCAAATTGCATTTCAAGCACTGGAGAACAAGGAGACATTCTAAATCTGATTAAGACCCATATGGTCTCAAATTCTGATAAATGTTTATTTTGGAACAAGAGGGTGTCAGTGTTTTTATATTCTGCTTGTTCATCTACAAAATCTTGTTCTCACGTTTCTCAAGGAAAGTGGGAGTCAGAGAAGCCTTGTGTTGTCTTGAATGTCTGCTGGGCGGAATTTCGGAATTTTCCATGTTTGCTTCTTGAATAACTCTGTCTAGACCCTTATCCTGGCTACCCTGATTCACTGATAACTCTGCTGATAGGCCTAATTCCCTTGCCCTTATCTCCCTAGAATGGGGTAACCACCTATTTTTAAGTCTTACTTATTTGAAAGGCAGAGTAACAGAAAGAGACAGGGCTTGTATCCACTGGTTGACTCCCCAAATGTCTACAACATCCAGGTCTTTGCCAGGCTGAAGCTAGGATCCAGAAACTCCATCCTGGTCTCACACATTGTTCACAGGGACTCAGGTCTGCTTCTCAGATATAAGAGCAGGAGGCTTGCTCAGAAGCTAAAGAGCTGGAATGGAGCTATGTTCCATTAATGGATGCCTGCTACCTGTGCTTTCACCACTCTGCCAGCATACCCACCTTCTGGGTGACTCCAGGGTGGGGAGCTAATGTGCTAATTTAAAAAGGGGATGAGGGTGGACATTTGGTTTAATAGTTAAGCTGTTGCTTGCAATGTGTGCATCCCGTAGCAGAATTCTAGACTTGGAGTTTTGGTTCCACTCCTGTTTTATTCCAGTGTCCAACTTTCAGCTAACAAATATTCTGTCTGGAGGCAACAGATAGTTCAAATTGTTGGTTACCTACCACCAATATGGAAGGCCTGAATTGAGTTCCTGGTTTCTGATTGATTTGGCCCAGCCTGGTGCTGTTGTAAACATTTTGAGAGTGACCCAAAAGAATTTCCCTCACTCACGCCCTCTCAATTAGTAAATAGAAACTGTTTTATAAATGTGCATGAGTGGGTGGTTATGTTGAGAATGAAAATTGAGATGCAGTTGGCTGGCTGGGGAAAGGATTTGGAATAAGTTTTATTCAATTTTTTTTAAAGATTTATTTTTTATTATTTTTTTTATTGGAAAGGCGGATATACAGAGAGGAGAGACAGAGAGGAAGATCTTCCGTCCGATGATTCACTCCCCAAGTGAGCGCAACAGCCAGTGCTATGCCGATCTGAAGCCAGGAGCCTCTTCTGGGTCTCCCACATGGGTGCAGGGTCCTAAAGCTTTGGGTCGTCTTCGACTGCTTTCCCGGGCCACAGGCAGGGAGCTGGAAGGGAAGCGGGGCTGCCGGGATAGAACTGGCGCCCATATGGGATCCCGGGCGTGCAAGGCGAGGACCTTAACCACTGCGCCACCGCGCCGGGCCCTTTATTCAATATTTGTCCTAAATGCTATCTGAAATTTTGGAGAAAAAACTAGAAGCTTTCTTAACTCTACCATGATTTGTGATTGTTAAACATTTTTTCTCTTTTAGCTCAGTTAATTGTACACATACTCGTAAATACATGCTGTCTATATAATATAGAATCAATACTGTCTTTAAAATGCCAGTTTCCATTTTGCATATTCTGAGTATCATTTCATGTTGGTACGCACGGTTCTTCATTTTTGAAGGCCTGCTGAGTAATTTCAACTCGAGGGAGTCTTCTCTCATTTCCTATTACCTTCTTTCCTCTTCTACCTTCCTGCTTAGTTCCTCCTTTCTGGGCGATTCTATTATCCCCTTTTTTCCTTAAAATCTATAATCTGCTGCAGCTCCATTTTACTGTTTTATTCATTCTTTCATTTTGCATATATCTTATAATTTAGACAAATAATATAGAAAAAATAAGGATTTTTTTTCTTTCTGTTTTGGGTTATGCCTGCTATAACATAAGCCAAAATAATTTGTTTACATGTTTTTGTTGTTACTGATGGTAGCTTTTCATTTTTCCTGTCCTGTTTTAGGAGAATAAACATGACAGTATTTTGAAAGCTTTTCATATCCCCAGAATAATCAATGACAAAGAGGCAGGCCATTCTAATGAATGTGTATGACTTTTATTTAGGAACATGACGGTCTCAAGCCCTCTGTCACTCCTGAATCTTGATGATTTATGTTGTTTCCCAGCCCCTGTGCCAGTTCACAAAGATGAGCAGAATGAAGCAGACAGTGCCCCAGAGGAGCAGCAGTCCCTGGGGACCAGCAAGCTGCTCTGTCACATCACGGACGGCGACAACCCACTGCTGTCACCTCGCTGTTCCATCTTCAGCCAAAGCCAGAGATTCAACTTGGACCCTGAATCGGCCCCCTCTCCACCCAGTACTCAGCAGTTCATGATGTAAGGGAATTTTGTTTTGTCCTTATCCCAATTTCATACAGTTTTTCAAATATTACATCAACAAATTGGCAATTAAGTGTATTTCTGAAGTATTACTAACATGCCTCAGCCAAGTTCAACTGCAAGAGCTGGAGATAAATGGTGAAAATCAGCAGGAAATGGTCACAAAAAACAGGTCATCCAGGGGCTTACATACCTGAATATTTGGGTGAAATGACCAGAAGCCTAGCAGGTATGCTAGAGATCTTCACAAAGTTCGTGGGAATGAGTAGTATGGGAGACCTAAGCTTGAATTTCAAAATTGGTTTGCACCAAAGTGAACTTAACTTTGAAACTGTTTTCTACACACTTGTTAAAGTGCCCTGGTAGGCTGGTGCAGATGTCAGGAAGGACATTGTGATGAGCTCAGGCTCTCCATGTTCAGTACTGGCAGCCATCGATGGGTGGAGGAAATACTGCACAATTGTTTACCTCTGTTTCTCTATGATGTGGAAAAGAGTGAGCTTTAATTTCTCCCTTCAAATTTTACATATGTATGTATATATGTACATACATATAAAATAAATGTTACATGATGTGCAAATATTCACATTATGTAATTAGGATTTAGAGTGAGATTGAGGAGCTGTGCATCTAAGTTGCACAAATAATTTTGATGAGCAGCTAAAATACAGAATCGTTGCTTGAAAAATATGTCCAGTAAATCCCTGCTTTCACCCTCATGATATACATGCTGTTACTCTTGAGTTTGTCCAAACCTAGATCCATGGGCTCTCGGTTGACTTGAGGGGATGTGTTATTTTAACTACATGGACATATATATCCTGAACGAGAGTGTATACATTTTCTGGAATGGGACTTACTCCTTTCATCACATTTCAAAAGGTTCTGTCAAGAAAAGTTAACCATTCATTTAAATCTTTCTTAAAAATGTTGAAATATGTGACTTCCATCCCACATATGTGCAGCTTCCTTGGCAGGGCTGTCATAGTCTTATATTGGCCTTCTGCAAACTCTTGGAAATGTGTTTACCAGGTTACTCTTTGACCTCTGCTCACAAAGGAGCTTTGTGCTCAGAGGTCTGCATCAACAAGCAGATGCAGCCATGGTGGCTGCATCCTACAGTGAACAAGCAACTTCTCAACTTCCTTGGTAATCTTGGTTTGCAAACCAAGCAGCAGTGTGTCCTCAAAGAGAAAAAAAAAATGGTTTGTTTTCATCTTATTTGAAAGGCAAAGAGACAGAGTAGCCCTTATTAAAAGAGATTTATTTATGTGAAGAGGAGAATGACAGAAGAATGATAGAAGTCTTCTTTATGCAATTTTCTTTCCATACACCTATAGCAAAGCCAAAGCTAGGAGCCCAGGACTTTAGATCTCCCACATCAGTGTGGGAACCTGAAATAGTTGAGTCATCATCTGCTGTCTCCTATGGGTTTGCAATAGCAAGAAGCTGGATGGGAAGTAGAGAAACTGGCACTTGAGCTAGGCACTTTGATATGGGATGTGGGTATCCCCAGCTGGGTCATGACTACTATGTCAAATACCCAACCAAGACTGTTCTTTTAATGCTTTCTCCCTCTTTGTAATCCTGCAGGCCCCGCAGTTCTTCCCGGTGCAGTTGTGGTGATAGCAAGGAGCCACAGACCATTACCCAGCTCACCAAGCACATCCAGAGCCTTAAGAGGAAAATTCGGAAATTCGAAGAAAAATTTGAACAGGAAAAGAAATACAGGGTAAGCACCTCAGGGTTTGACATAGAGCAGATTGAGCCAGACCTGTGTGAATTTTCCTGGGCTTCTTTCCTGCTTTTTGGGTCATCTGCTTTGCCAGGAATCTGCTCCATCCCCATTGGCCAACGCAGGATCCATGATAAGCCGAGTTCTCACCCTGGGTCTGTTATTCTTGTGTGCTCTTAGTGGTTCTCTGATGATGCTTCCTAGTAATGGAGTATGAGTCTCATTTCTGAACTTGACTGTTGGACACACATTTTTGTTTTCACTGGAGAGCCATATTATCACTAGTTTTTCTAGAGCTAAAATTTAGAAAGTCTGAAATTTGCTCTTTTTTCTTACTGTTTCCCATCTTGGTAAGACCCTACTAACGACCAGCTGTGGAGCAGAGTTAGGGCAGGATGGTTTCTTTAACACTGACACTGACACAGACACAGGGGGTGGAGAAAGGCCCCCTCAGATGATACCAGTCCAGGGCCATGTAGAACAAATCCACACATTCTTTGCCGTCAAAAAGACCTGAACCTTGATGCCAGTGCCACACTGCAGCAAACATGAGTCTTGTCTTTTTCTCACATAAATGGTAGAGGCATAGTGTTTTGGTGTCAGTGCTTTTTTCATTCTAATGATGACCATTGCATAAGGAAAAATCAGATTCACACAGAACAGCATGAAGATAGTGGGTGTTTGGGAGAGGGCCCAGAACAGCTTATTATAAAAGAAAACAGATAATCATCTCTGAAACATCTTAGAATGTGGAAAAAGTCTCCCTGAGTGCTTAGGAAAGACAGTTGGAAGGTTCAAGTGAGTGTGGTGGTAGGATTTTGGGAGTGAGATGAAAGTGGGTAATAGTCTTCCTGTCTGTGCTTCCCAACCCATCCTCAGAGTCACTCAAGGGATTTTTAGTGACTTTCTAAAATGGGAAATAAAACCAGATTGAATTTAAGGCAATCTTAGGCAGGGGAAGATGAGGAATCTTTTCACTGGGGACAGGCAGTTAAAGTACTGTCCATTGTAGTGCAGCAGGGAGTCCCACACACTGTTAGTCTAGGCCTTTCTGTTACAAGTAAGGGCACCCAGGCCTGACAGCTTACAGCTTGCTTGGGAGAAGCTGTGTTCTGTCAGCTTGGGCTGGAGCAGTGGGTTGAAGGTGGCTAGATTTGCAGTGGAAAAGTCAAGTGATTCTTAAGTGTCCTGAGTTTGAAAGCTCCAGATACCCTGAAAACAGCTATGGTTACTTGTTGCTTGCTGGAAAGTTGCTGGAATTATGATGTCCGCACAGTGGAAACTGTAGACTTAGGGCTCAGGAACACTTACCTGTAAGTCCAGAATCGGGCCCTACTGGATATGATTCCAGTGCAGCAGTTTAAGAAATTTGTGACTTTGAACTTGATATTCTGAATCCCTATTGCCATCTGAGAGTATGATTAATATTAGTGATAACTCCTTGCGTTTGTATTAAATAAAGGAGTACATATATGCTAATTAGTGTTTGATGAAAAGAAAGTAAGCTAAACAAGTTTCAAAATCTATTTGAAATGTTTGACCAGGCTACCCCATAATGGCTGCCTTGTCAAAATGAAAGGAAATTTTTACATGTGAATATCCCACTACATTTTTCCACCTGAATCCAGAGACCATTGACAGTTTTCTTAATTCTAGCAGCCACCCAGCAGCTCTCCTGCTTAGGAGAGAACTTATCCTGGCCTGTCCTGTCTTTGTCTCCAGAAGCTTCAAGGCCAGAGCAGATACAAGCAAATGAATACTCACACTTGCAGGTGGATGCACCAGGAACAGTAAAAACGATGACTTCACGTTTGGCATTGTTTCAGTGGGAAGTCAAGCATTACGTGTCTTGGTAAACAGGGCTTCTGCTTGCCCTTCTTATCCAGGTGCCAGGCTGTGATTAGGGCTTTGACATGTCAGTGGGCTTTCATTGTTTGCTTCTTTGTGTGAGGCTTCCCTCCCTTGTAGCCTGGCTGTGGAATTTATAGCTTCAATTTCTAATTATTGAACTTGAGCTTCTGTGACCCTCCATGCTGTTCTGATGCCTGTGTTTTTTTTATTATTTTAAAATTAAAACAATTTTTAAGATGTATTTATTTTTCTTTCAAAGGCAGATTTAACAGAGAGAAGGTGAGACAGACTGGCTCACTCCCCAAATGGTCGCAAAGGCTGGAGCTGAGCTGGTCGAAAGCTGGTAGCTAGAAAGTTCTTGTGGATCTCCCATATTGGTGTAATGTCCTAAGGCTTTGGGCAGTTTTTGGCCATTTTCCCAGGCCAAAGGCAGGGCGCTGGATGGGAAGTGGAGCAGCTGGGACTCGGACCAGTGCCAATACAGTATCCTGGTGGATGCAAGGTGAGGACTTAGCCACTAGGCTATCACACCAGGCCCTTGATACCTGTGTTTAACTCACATCTTTCCATTTATTTTCAGTTTGCCCATTTTATATACCTGACCCAAGGTGTACCTGTTCTCTACAGTTGATTATATGTTGACTGTTTGGCTCAAGGGGTTAGAAGATACCACCATATTTATTTATTTAAAATTTTTGTTTTTCATGATACAGTTCCATAGGCACAGGCATTTCCCCTTCCACCCTCCCCATTCCCTCCACCTTCCACTGCAGTCCCCCATGCAATTAAAATGGTACAGTTCTTCAGCAAGTCACAAGTCCGACATTATGCTATTTAAGTGTATCATTATATTGTAGACATAGACACTGGTAGAAAGTCCAGTATCTTATTGTCAAGATATTTTTAACAGTTTCATCGGGAGTTCATGTTTATTTGGAAGTAAAGATGCATACTGCAATGTATCTTCATTTCTTGGTATGCTAATCTCCATTGTAGGATTCCTCTAGGTGAATATATGTACATGCATGTTTACATATATATTTATTATTCTTGTATTTTGCATGAAAGTTGCCTTACAACAGAGAGAACATATGATATTTGTCCTTTTGAGATTGGTTTATTTCACTGAGCATAATGTTCTCTAGCTCGGGCCATTCTGTTGCAAATGATACATAAAAAACTAAGTTCCAGAATAATATATATCATGTAATAACAACAGCAATACAAATGAACAGAATATAAAGATGAAATAATACTGTTTTAGCCAGATGTCTACTTTCAGAGGATTCAGAAAATGTTAAAATTAAATGGAATGGCTAGTATTTTTCTTATCTGACAACTGGAGATATTGTGGCCCAGAGAAGGTAGAGTGAATGCTATGGCATCACAGAGCAGAAAACCGATTTAGCCAAGGTAACAACTCAGGTCTTCCTATTATCACTCTGGAAACTTTCCTAATTTGTTGTAGGAATCTTCTGTGACCCACCACGGATCTGATCCAGTGGTATCTTCTGTTATGTGAAATGCGGCTTGGGACCTCCATTTTTTTTAACTGCACTGAAAAACCTCAATTCTTTTTTTCCAGTTTTTTTTTTTTTAAGAATCTTTACATAGTTAATGTGGGCACAAAGGTTCAAGGGCTACAGGAAAGTGGGTAAGACTATTATTTCCACATTTTTTTTCCTGTATCTGGAGTAAAGGGGGAGACGAAGGGAGAAGCCCTACCCAGTCTCCCACCCATCCCAGGTCCCTGATGTGGGGCATGCTCCAAGCAAGGGTGTTGCTCAAGTGGAAAAACCTCAATTCTAATATCCAAGTGTATGACCACTGGATTCTGAGCCATAGAGGGCTACCATCCATGAGAGCTGGATATAACCTCTTTTCAAAGTTAACCCTAGAGAAAGGAAATTTTTTAAAAAACTCATAATAAAATTATTTTAGATTTAAAATTATTTTGTCAAAAAATCCAATCCTGATTTCCCTAAAGCCTATGTGTGGCAGTGAAAGTTCATCGCTTTGATGGTCATTAAATTAGAGTTTCTGTGTGACACACACATAGAGATGAACATATTTCAAAACGTAGGATTAAGTGTTAGATGTGAAGAAGATCTAGTGAATATTGTTGAAAAATAAGAGTTGTCAGATCTGAGAGATTTTGGAGGATTTGGGGGAAGCTAAAAGCCAAACATTGATAGTCCGTATTACCAGAATTCTGCCAAAACCAAATCCTGGACTATATGCCTAGGAAAGAGTGCAGTGCATTATGACAGCATCCAGAGATGGGATCAGGCTCAGTCACTGGAGAGCAGGGTGTGTCCATGTGCCACTGTCCATGGTTTTGAAATCAGGGCTCCCTTATGGAAACCCTAGTATTTCCAAGTTCCCTGTAGGAAAGAATCATTGGCATGCTTACATCAGTTGCTGGTTCTGTCTTGATTTTAATGTGTGTGGTTTTTGTGTCACTCCAGAATGACAGTACCATGCCTGTGTTTTAAAGTGAACACGCTAGTGTTATGTAGATTTGATTCTGACGGTTGTGCTCAGCTTTCTCCTGTGAGCTGAAATTTTCCCGTACCTCCCTCCCACCAGTGACTTTCTGAAGTTACAAGTATCCAGTGAAGCCTTAAAGGTGACAGTGGCCCTAGTTTGGATCATTACCAGTGCCCATTATTCATGCTATTATGTTTATGTCACCTTGAACATAGTTAAATAATTTGAGATTTACTTTAAATACTTCTTAAAATTCGTGGCAGTTACAATTAAGAGAATAACTTACTTTGTAAAACTTGAAATCCATGCATAATTTTTCATACTATGTGTTTCCCATGAACTTTTTGAAGGTTGTCGGTGAATTTCAAATTTTTTTCCACCAAAATAAACTTAATTTAATCTCATTTTGCATGCACTCTTTGAAGTACCCACATATCCTTGATTCAGAGCAAACATTACTCTTCCTGAACATGCTTTCACATTACTGTGGTGACCTTGACTTGGTGAAGAATATTTTTAACTTACCTGCACAGATAAATGGTATGTTTGGCTACTATTCCCTTAGAGTTTTCCCTTTCTGTAGAAAACACATTTCTGTGCTCTGATAAGAAATCCAGAAATGAAGGGAATGATTTGTATTTTCAGTGATGTATGCTCCTAAAATATTTTCAATGCTACATGCTAGTTGTGATTAGCTGCTTATAAAACATGCATATGTCTACATGCATGTTAGGGAAGAAATACTCAGGATTACTCTTTGAAGGTCTGGGAATAAAAATGCTACTACTACTACTCTTACAGCTGTTATCATTATTGTTAATATTTATTGTACTCCTAATAATACTTGTTTTTCTATGCTTTACAGGTTTAATTAATGAATCCATCCTAGCCTCCCTGGAAGTCAGCTGCTATTTTAATTCTTATCTAATAGATGTCACTGAGGCATAGAGAGACCAAGGGATTGCCCACGATCACATGCATGTGATTGATTATACTCACTTTATTATTTACCTTGGTAGAAAACTGAGCCTTAGAGATGTGGGTATTCTCCTGACAGATTCACTCCTTGGGACTCTTCTCAGGTTTTAGAGACCCTGTGGCCTTCTTTCTTCAGCATGGAAGACATGATGGACAGACGCTGAATCTTGAGGCAGGTTATGGCCTTGAAGCCAGGTGTGCAAGCCACTGGCTGGGTGCTAAGCATCAGTGTACTCAACAGCTGTGGGGGCATTGTGGGGCAAAATGGCATGGAGAAGACTTTGTGAAAAGGGTCTGGCATGCAGGAACCATGTCTATGCCACAGATGGAAGCATGGAGGAAGTCAAGAATGGTTGCTGTTTTCCAGAAGCAATAACATCCTTGGAGTTTTCACTCTCGAATTTCTTTACCAGGTTCTATGTTCCTGAATTTTTTGGTGTGGCTCAGCTGTTTGAAAAGTTTTTGTTGTTTTGTCTTTCTTCCTCCTCCCTTGGCAGCCTTCACATGGTGACAAGACTTCTAATCCTGAAGTCCTGAAATGGATGAATGATTTGGCTAAGGGTCGCAAACAGCTCAAAGGTAAGTGCCAGCTCAAGGTCTGTTTCCTCGGAAAGGAAGCAGTTGTAGTAGTAATGTGCCCCACAGTGTCTGTGATTCATACCCACCTATGCTTTGAACCTTGAACCCTGCTTTCCACTTAGATTGGAGGCCCCATTTGAAATCAGGAGTCCTACAGCGCCTTCATTGTTTAGTTCTATCTAATCAGCCTTTACAGAGAATGACTGTGGATCTCCATGATTCAAGGAGAATTCACTTCAGTGCCAGGCATATTCGAACATAAGGGGACTGTTATTCTCCTGGATGATTGGACACTAGGATGTTAAAGAGGACTGAGAATTGGCTATCTAACCAGAAAACAAAATATTGGAGCAAATAAACATGTTGCAATGAAAAGAAGAAAATGAGCTCAGCAGCTGAAAAGTCCACAGAAACAACTTTATTCCAGTGACCAATCCCTTAGTACATTCTGAAATGTAATTCTTTGACATGTGCCCCCATGGCTTTCCTATTTTTAACAATCTAAGCTTTTGTAAGGTCACACTACAGCAGTCATGACTGCTGCATCTTAGAAGGTAATAATACATAAAACAGTGTCAGGTTGGGGCTGGCCTTCCCATCTCCCCCTCCCACCCCCTCCTCTATTTTTTCAGGTATCTGCAGGTATAAGGGCTTCCAGAGGTACTTGAATTTTCACAGGGGCTCTCAATGAATACAAAACATTCAAAATCTTAGGTAAATGCATCTTTCAGTATGGAATCTGAGGTGCTAAGGTAGGTAGCTAGTGAGGTAGAAGTAGCACATTACTGATTGTCCTCCAGAATGCTGCTATCCATTGACCTAAATCACGAGTTGCCTTCACTCATGAACTTGTACCAGCATGGTATCCACATCTCTGAAGTTCTGTTTGTGTGTGGCATTGGGAGCTCATGTTGTTGGCCCTGGTTAGTAACACTGCCCTTGCCCTTTGGGAAACCATTAATGCAGGTCATTTGTAACAATTTGTTATGAGAGCAGGAATTCCCAAAAGACTGATGGCTATTGTTAGGGGCATTGAATCCTCATCCTCATGGTAACTCACCACATTTTTCTTAGAATTAAAGCTGAAGCTGTCAGAACAACAAGGGAGTACTCCCAAAGGTCCACCAAGAAATCGGTCTTGTGAGCAACCTACAGTTCCCAGAGAGCCTGGGAGGCTAGAAGCTGCAGGCCCTGAGCCAAGCTGCTCTGGGGAGGAGACCTCGGATGCCATGTTGACATGTCTGAAGGAGAAGAGACAGCAGCTCCCCCTCCAGGAAGAGTCTAAGGTATCTCACCGTATCATTGCAGGGTCCTCACTCCACAGAGTTCCAATGACAGCATATGTCTAATTTGGCTAAGTATTTGTCATCACAGAAACAGCTTTAGGAGGCTTGTTCTGAAATTTCAGTTGAGTTTCTGGTGAATTACTGGTCCTGAATTGTGGGTGTTGCCACATCACTCTTATATATACCTCTCTTCTACAGGTTATAATCTGATATGTTGAGAAAAAGTAAATGGCAAAGAGATAAGGCTATATCATATTGTTCTCTGATCCTGCATTTCCCCTTAATTAGCAAATAAACCAAAGACTAAGAAGTAAGCATTATTGTCTGAGCATGGAAAAAGCATTCCATGTATTTCTGCTAAAAAGTCCTGAAGCAGGGATGATGCATTTCATCAGGGAAGCTTTCTTGTTGTCCTTCCTGACTTAGCTGCGCTGGTGTGGTTGCCCTTCAGTTGTTAGACATGAGTTGCAGGTACCCTTTCATAGCTCTATCCTAGATGCCATTTTCTGTTTCCCATATTTAAATTCCTGGTATAGTAGGAATGTTGCTCATGTCTACATAATAGTAAGTATTGAATAAATGTTGAATGAACAAGAGTGGATAAACCACAACATTCAACTTTGGACTGAAGTCTTGGGAATTCTGTTTACTTGTTCTGCTGTACATTATCTGGTCTTAATCATAAGGTAGTAGACTCCCAAAAGCTTACACTATGCCTTTGGGTTAATTGTTTACATTGCAACTGATAATCTGAAAGTAGAAATGGCCCCATGGACAACCCTATCTTTATGAAATTCCTTCAGACTTGAAAAGCTAACAGATGTTGTAAAGGATGAATCACATTTCCAATGTGATCAACATATACTCTTCCCCAGTGAAAATTCTTAACATTTGTGATAGCTATTGAATAATTTATATATGCACATTTGGTTTTTCATCCTTTACTATTTCTCAGGGTCTTTTTGGCATATTATGGTTGCCTTAAAACCAAGAAAGCAAATTGGTTAACACTGAAATCTTAATTCTGGGTTCTACTCAGTTAATCAGGACAGTGAAAGGAAAATTAGGCTTAGTATATAGACTAGAGCATAATTTGGATCAAATGACAGAAAATTATAAATATGGCTTATAGTTCAGATAGGGTAATTAAGATCAAGAGGGTGACATTCAGTGGAAAAAAATTGGGTAAATAACAGCAGAGAACATTCTAGACATTCTGGACAGATGGAATGGCAGGTGTGAAGGCCTTTAAGAAAAGAGCTTATTGTGTTTGGAATTCTTAGGTCTGAGGGCTGGAGCACAGAATGACATGAGATGAAATCAGAAAGAGATGGAATCCATTCACACTGAACCTTTTAGATTATGGAAAGTACTGACAAGTTGTTAGAATGGTTATGTGCAGAGAAATTACATGATGTGATTCATATTTAAAATCATTTCCGATGTATAAACAAATAATAAGGCAAAAAGTAAAATTAAATGGGTGGCTTGAATTACTGACATGGTGGCCTGGGAAATATGGAAAGAAGTAAACATTCAAGTGCATTGTGCTAAGCCTCAAAAGCACAGGCTGAGATGTGGTATGGGAGGACGAGAACCGAAGAAAGAACCCTGAATGGTGACAGGTCCACTTAGGAAGTGGAGATGCCTCTGGAGGAATACATTTGGGAGTACCGTAAAGTTGAGACTTGTTTGGAACATACTGAAGATAAGTACTTTGAGAAACAAAATGACACCCACCCCATTTGGCCTAGGACTTTCTCAATTTTAACTCTGAAAAGCCTGTCTTGGGAAATGCCTCAGTCCAGGGCCAACTGGGTAGTGGGGTCACCACACGAAGACAACTAAGTCAGGTAGACCCATGCAAACAAGAGTCTGGATATTAGAGAAAAATCTGAGTGCCTTGGGAGTCATCCTTTTATAAGTGGCAGTTATTGTATTTCAAATGAAATATCTGTTGTTATTTAGTATCAGAACTACTTTAAATAAGCCAAAAATAGCTCGGTAGTAGGCTAATTTGGGGCCTTTTAGGGTTTAAAAAAGTCTGTAGTAGAGTATGTATGCTTCATTATATAAAGCTTCAGTGTTGTTCGTGGGAGGGCCTAAGATAGTTCCACTGGCCAGCTACTATATGGCATGAGAGAAGCCACAGCACAGCCCAAGGGAGGATTAACTATTTCCATAGCAGTCAGTATTAATCCTGCCTCCTGGGTGAGCTCATTAACATTTCAGATAATCTCATTAGGTCCAGTTTCTTTAAACTTAAATTGACAGATGACTTCTATCTGCAGTCCCAGCTTTTTCTGAAGCTGCATTAAATATTAAAAACTGCAATGAAGAATGACTTGTGTCTGAAAGAGACTTTTTGAGGTGTTTGGTGTGTAGTCAGAACCTGTACCGAAGCTGATAAATCCTATGACAGCACTGTCTTGTTGGTTCAGATACTGTACTGAATAACTGCTCCTTTACTTTGGATAATTTTTTGAAATAATTTTGAGTTACAGAACTTTGTTGTGCCCTGACAAGAAATGATTGCTCTCCCTTTTGATTCTATACAATGCTGCCTGTCTGTATAGTATACAAAATGTAACCTAACTTTTGATTTTTATTGTGTAAATGGAAGAAACCAGGATCATGTTGAGTAGCTTTAACAGCCAGAGAGCCCTCCATAGTATATTTTTGACAGTTAGTTTTACAGATCAATATAAGGAGATATTTATAAAACAATAAACAACAAAGATCTTTAGTTGTCTTTGTCACTTTTTAATAGTACTAAAGGAATAAAATTTGATACAATGTTTAAAATACAATATGATATAATTTGCCAATAGAAAGACAGTGTTGCCATAAAAAAAACTATCCAGTAGATTATTCTAATCATTAAGTGCATTGAGTGGTGGAATATTAGCTTGAAAGCAGGCTGACTTTCCGTGAGAGAGAACTTATTGAGTGGCCAACCCAGATGTGTTTCCTTGTTGACTCTTCAAAAGTTGTTTGGGAAAAACTACAATTGGTCGAGCATTTTGACCAACATGTTTTTCTTCTCTCCAGGGGTCTAGTGCCATATATTTTAAAATGAAATATTTTACAATCAAACTTGTCTATAAGCATCCTCGTAAACAAACTTTCTCAAGTTGACAAGTAAAATGACCTTCTCTTTGGACAGCGAACAATTCTTTTAGGATTCCTTAGCTTTAGTCAACTTTTGCCAGAATTTTCCTGTTTAAGAAGCTCTACTGGGCTAACCACTGAACCCTCTTGTCTCTGGAAACTGTTTTAGCAGTGACTGTAAGAGTGAAATGTAATCAGAGTAAAAGATTACATACATTGTATATGAACCATAATTTTCACCTAGTATTTGTACAAGATACCTTTCATCATTTGTACTGTTAGTCGTTGTGTTTTTCTTTCAGGATTAATTTCTGTAGAATGGAGACTATAACAACAAAAATCACAAATCAAATTGCAGTAGCTAAACACTTATATTTCACTGTTTTTTTGTTTAACTTAAACTAGGTTGTTCTCTTTTATCACCTATGAAGATTTCATGACATAAGTGTTGCTATGATTTTGTTTGGATTTTACCTCTTTGGAATATCTGTCATGATTAACAGAGCTTAGGGAATGACAGGCCAGAAAATGAGAGGTTCTTGAGACTAACACACACATTTAAAAGGATTCAACAATAGAAGTTATTTTTGTGCTGAAAATAAAGTATAAAACCTTATGTTATATAGCTTGTAGATTTTATGTAAAGATTTTTAAAGTTAGTCATTTTTGCATGTAACTCTGTATTAATAGATACAGGTTACTTTAGTAGGAATGGGGATGTGAGAACTTAAAGAAATTCCAGATCTGATATATGCCTTAAAGGAACTTCTAATTTACTTGAGCAAATAAAACTTAACCACACAAAACAATTAAGGCCTAGACTATAAAATAGAACATTTCAGAGAAAGAGAGCTCAATATGGGCCAGAATGTTTGCCATTGGGGGGTGTGTGTGTGTGTGTGTGTGTGTGTGTGTGTGTGTGTGTGTGTGTGTGTGTAGCGGGGAAGCATGAGAGTAAATAGAAGACTTAGGTCATTTTCTTCAGGGCTCTCCCTTGAAGGGCTGTGTGGGGGCTGAGAGGGGAGAGTTTGGAAGTATGCTTGGACTTGTGTAATTCGAAGACAAATACCAGGGTGATACCATGGGCTATTTCTGCCATTTTCCTCCCACTATTTGTTAAGTATTACTGTTGGCAAACAGTGAAAGTGAAGCTGCATGTAGTAGTTATGCAAGAAAAATACAGGATATGGATTAGGGAGAAAATTGGAGGAGCTGGGTAAATTTGGAATAGGTAGACAGATAGGGAGTTATTTAATTTTTTATGTACAATATGATCTCTTGAAATTAGGGTTAAAGGATGGATCATACAACAGAGGCATATGGAATGCATTCATGGATAACAGCTGATGGCATGCTTTGGTTGCAGGGAACTTTAACTCTTTCATGGGTAGGAAATTAAGGATTCACATAAGTTAAATGTTTTGTTCAAAGAACTTTTTTCATACCAGCTAGCCAATAAACTAGGATATAACTCCACTATGTTATGAAGACTTGAACAAGGTTGGTATTTATGAATATAATCTTTGACATCTAGACAGATAAAATACAAATTTATAAAGAAAAAAAGCCTGGGTCACTCATTGGTTTCTGACCAAGAATGAGGAAGTAATTAAAGAAGTTCAACTTACTGACATACTGTATACTCCTACAGAAAGCTCTACAAATCATCTTTCTAAAACTTACTTTTCCTTTAAGACAGGAGTGGGGAATCTTTTTCCTTCCAAGGGCCATTGGATATTTATAACATTATTTGTGGATCATATAAAATTATCCACTTGAAAATTACCCTGCTATATAGATATATTAAATTTCTAGTCCTACTTTTATAGTTACCTTAGTAGGCCCAGAACCAAATGCTTCCATGCGACTTTTACAGGCCATCCTTGTTAGCTTTCCATAGAAACATTTGGTACATGTTATAATGCAGGATCTTAGAAAAGGTGGTTTTCTTACTACTATTGTATTAAAATCACCTATCTTGGGTGCCAGGATTTCTTTTCCTTGCTAAAAAATTACTGTTTTTTATTCTTGTTTGATGAAGAAACAATTTTATGTTTTACAGGTAGCCAAGCAAGATAAGAACCTCATAAAACCTCTTTATGACCGATGCAGAATTATCAAGCAAATCTTGTCAACGCCTTCCCTTATTCCAACAATTGTAAGTCAGGAAGGTTGCATTAAGTAGAAATTTGTAGTGGTAACTTGTGCAGAAGTGTGGGACTGTGAGTTCTGTGATCCTCCTTGGCAGTATATCCTGCCAGATCTTATTTTCACATAATGGAAATGTGGAACTCCCAACAGCTCAGGGGAATGTCTAACAGAGGCTAATGGTTACCGCACTTCTGAAGTAGGGATACAGGGTGGAACATGTATGTTTGAAGCTGCTGTTAACATTTGCATTGCTTTGGAAAATGAGAAGAAATAATGGATTTTAGTTGGTATTGTTCAATTCTTAGCACAGCTAGCCAAAACAGCCTTCCTGATTTGTGTACTGATTAATGTTTTTAATAAGAAATAACAGAACGTGTTGTTTAATAAAGTGGTTACATTTGTTTTTGGTATCATTCATACCAATCTGAGAAGATTCATTTCAGTAGGAAATAGGAATACTGGACATAAGTAATACTTTTTTTTTATTGGAAAGCCAGATATATAGACAGGAGGAGAGACAGAGAGGAAGATCTCCCCAAGCGGCCACAATGACTGGAGCTGAGCCAGTTCAAAGTCAGGAACCAGGAGCTCTTCAGGGTTTCCCACACTGGTGCAGGGTCCCAAGGCTTTGGGCCGTCCTTGATTGCTTTCCCAGGCCACAAGCAGGGAGCTGGAGGGGAAGCGGTGCCGCCGGGACTAGAGCTGACGACCATATGGGATCCTGACACATTCAAGGCGAGGACATTAACCACTCAGCTATCACGCCAGGCCCCATAAGTAATACTTTTAAGAAAGAATGATTTATGAGACTACAGAACCAGTTACAAATCCTTCTCCCTTGATATCAAAACAGTCACTTGCCTAGTATACTAATATCAAAGGAATAAATACTAATAAATGTAAACTTAAGTAATACTTGAGTGCATTTACATTTATACTTCGTATTTTAAGATTGTAACAGAATAATGATCTAAAATTTTCCCACAAAGGAAGTATAATTTAGAGTATGGGCCTATGCATGGTGGCCCAGTGGCTAAATCCTCACCTTGCACATGCTGAATCCCATATGAGCACTGGTTCATTTCCTGGCTGCTCCACTTCCCATCCAGCTCCCTGCTTGTGGCCTGGGAAAGCAGCAGAGGATGCAGGGGACCTGGAAGAAGCTGCTGTCTCCTGGTTTCATTTGGATCAGCTCAGTCCTGCCCATTGCAGGCACCTGGGGGGGGGGGGTGAAGCAGCAGGCAGATCTTTCTATCTGCTTCTGTTTAAATCTGGCTTTCTGATAAAAATAAGTAAATCTTACATATGTTGTGATAAGAAGTATAACAGGTTAGATAGTAGCCTTATGTTGATTTGGTCTTCAAATATCTTGTTTGAATTACTAAATTTTCCAAGTATTTTCTGTATGTGAATGTGGCCCACAATGGGGCAATATCTAGGAAGTTTCTGTATGAATAAAGAAATCTGTAGTCCCCTCATCCTAACCTACATCACTAGGAAGTGCATGAAGCAGGGGCCCAGGTCTGGATTATGGGGAGGGTATTATTTGGTAGTATATTCCACGCTGCATCATATTCTAAATGGCTGTGCTCTCTTCGGCCCAGAAGCATAAACTAACTTCATCAGCATTTGTCCCAGCCTGGGTACACCTTTGCTTACTGACTTTAGCATGATTTCTAAAGTAATTGATGAAGAAGTGTTCTGGGTTTTTCTGTTCTGATTCTCAGCAGGTACGTGGGCTACTCATCAGTTTTCACAGTGTCTATTTCATGATTTCCTTCCCATTTTTACCTCAGTAGATACTCAGCATCCTATGACTTTATGTAACTTTGCCTGTGATAAGCAGGAGGAAGAGGACTCTGATGAAGACTGTCTACAGGGAAGCCAACAGCTTGCTTTGCCAGATCCAGTATCTTGCCTTCCTGTTGGTGACCATGTCACCTACTCAAACGAGACTGAACCTGTTAGGACCCTGCTACCAGAAGAAAAGAAAGAAATCAAACAGCCAGCTCTCTCCATGTCCAATTTACATGAGGCTACAATGTGAGTATGAACCTTCATTGTGAAGTGATTCTTGTCTGAGACAATTTCTATGTGCATGCAAAGTCCAGAAGAACACCACAATAGTTGTGTATAATTCGGTTCTTTTAACTGGAGAGAACTGAGAAGCCTTGTGCTAAACATGACATAAATACTGAATTTGCTATCATCATGTGTCTGTAATTTAGAGCTTGGCACCAGTCTAACTTGGCAGTGTGTAAAGCACAACTGGCCTTTGCTAGACCCAAATGCATATCTGTACCTTTGTGGTAAGAAGCTGAGAGAAACTTTATCCTGCTCCTTCTAGATGGCATTGTTTCTGCAGACCAGGAGTCCGCCTGGACTTCAGTAAAGGAGCTCGTCTGTCTCCCCACAAGCTCCTGGTTAGCAGCTGTTTGGATTTTCATTATTGTTGTCATTACCGTTTGGCAGTAGCTGGCAGTCCTCTTGGCTACTACAGCCCAATTCATGAGATTCTCTTTAACACACATAGTGCAGTGAGTTTATAGCCCAAAGCAGAGGTGGAATAAGACCAAGAATTAAGTTTTAAATTGAGATTTTAATATGTTTGTAGTGTTTATTAGCACTATAACTTCACACTACAGGTATGCAACCTGTTTGAAGGCTGATTTGTTTTATGCAGTGTGTAATTTTTCTAAAATGGTTGTAACATTTTGAAGGGTATGGACTTTTATTTCAATCAGTTTTTAAAAAATGTCCATATATAATTTCAGAGAATTTACAAAATCTCTGAAATTCTATAAATATCTTTAATGAAGTGAGAAGAATTTTCAGTGTAACCATAGCTTTGTTCTGGGTCCAAGCTTATTCCCCAAATTTAATCATTCTCCTAGTATGAATTTGCCTAAGGACAGAACATTAACATTCTCTTGTTTAAGTCTACCACCAAATGTAGTGTGTTAGTTTACTTATGTCTTGTCCTTTCTCTTTGAAGTGACACAGTTTCAAACATCAACATATTTCTTATATTTATGGGTGCCTCCTGTTTTGGCTCTAGGTGTGCCATATCCAGAGATAATCCTATGTTCAAAAAAGTGTTCTGGTCATAATGTGTTTTGAGGAATTTTTTCTTCTGAACAGATAGCACTGACATAATTGAGAGAGCATAGCAGTGCTTAGTAATGGCAAGTCTGTACTTTACCTGACACAGGCCTGTACTTCTTGACCATCTTCGAGAAACGAGGGCTGACAAGAAGAGACTGCGTAAAGCCTTAAGAGATTTTGAAGAACAGTTTTTTAAACAAACGGGAAGGTAAGTGGGTTGAGACTTCTTAAAGATACTATTTTCTAGAGAATTATTGTTACAGATGAGCTGGAATGCTGCAGGGAATTATTTTGCACAAGATGTAAATAACTTCCACACTGGCTTTGACTTGGGTTTTGTTCAATGAAACATTCTGATTGTGTCATTGCAAGAGCGTGCAGCTCTCAGGTATGCCATCAGGCTTTGAAATGCAAAGGACAAGTTATAGAACTTTGCATATTAATCTCATAAAAATCACTTTTTCATTCTTTAAAACTTGTGTCTGGCGTCATTGTTGCACAAGTTGTTCCCTACTTTTAAAATAATTATTACTCCTTTGTTTTAAATACTCCCTTTATACTGCAGAAACTAGTTTTTTGTTTCAAAAGTTTCCTCTAATTTTTAGTGTATCAATTACAAATTACATACTCAGGAGATAAAAGCTATTGATACACTTTTGTCTGGGCAGCAAAGCCAAATCACTTCACTGTTTAGCCTTACTTTTCATTACTGAAAGCTGAAATGATGGGATTCCTAGGGTACTACTGTGGGTAGCTATAGTGGCCCAGCTATTTGGGACATCAATCTTAAAAAAATAAGTAAGGATGTAACTTTCTCAAAGTCAAAAAGTTATGTGTCAGTATGAGATTAAATTGTCCTTCAGCTTTTAGATCATGAGCACGGACATCAGTGCTCCACTGGCTCCTCTCTCCGTCTACAATCAGACTTCCTGAATTTCTCTCAGCTCCAGGACCTGAGAGCTCCCTGGTAGAAACGGCCTAATTTCTAAAGGAACCTGGAAATCTGCAGGCTTAGTCTTAGGCCCTGGCAACTTCTCCATTTTACTCCATAGAGCTGCTCACTTGCGAACATTAAGTGAGAAAGTTTTTGTAGATACCAGATCCCAGGCATCCTTAAAACATTCATGGAAACATGTGTTATGAAAGAAGATAAACAGGCATCACTTAAAAAATATATTGCTTCAAAATAAAATTCATTCAATATTCCATGAACTTTTTGAAGAACCTCTTACAGATGTTACGTCTCTACTCTTCCACCTAGAATCTTTTATACAAGTCCAATTTATCTTCTGCTGACATTAACTAATCTGCTCAGACATGCTATGTGCTATTAAACCTAAATTATAAGCCATGATTTGTTCCCTGTTTTCATATATTTATTTTCTTTTATAAAATGTTCATGAAATTTCATGGCAGAACATTGCTTGTGATAGTTGACTGGCTGAATGGTTCTGCTATGTTATGCTTTGGGAATATATGATTTGTGTTAAAGTTTCTGGTTTTCTTTTAAGAGTATTCCATGGGAATTTTTCACTTAAGGAAATATTTGGGATGATATCCATATTACAACCTAACCAGTAGTAATTCCACACAATTCATTCCTTCAAGATATGCATAATTTTCATATCTGAGTTTCTTCAAAATATTTACCTTTTAACCTCTTTGAATCCAGGAGTAGATCTCCATGTGTGAGCAACTGTTAGGATGCCTTTGATATTCACATTAATTATATTCAGTGTACCATATTCTGTATCTGTGTTCTAACCCCATTTGTATCGATAATCGAAGTTGAATGCCCTCTTGTGGTTATATATTTAAGCTAAAAATAAAATCAAACAATGGAATGGCTAGAAATTATGGACCTAAATATTGTTTACTTCAGAACTTTTATTGGGAAAGCCTGATGAGGTAACATAAACATGCCAATGCATTACTAAATGTTTTGAGGCACTGTAAAGAATTTGTAAAAATATATTTACCATGTAATAGGATTTGTGGTAATACAGTTATAAAATTACAGATATGAGGAAAACTGATTAAGGAAAAATATAGCAGAACTTTTTACTTTAGTCAAAGAATATTGCTTGTTAACCAAAACAGGATATTTAGGACCAGGAAAAATAATGGGCTGTGTTTTCCTGTAATAACTAAGATGGTATTCAAAAATCAGTTACGGTAAGTTTGTCTCGTAACACAGAATGGAGCCAAACTGTAATATAACTTTGACATTTGGCATGAAGCCTAGCTTTGCATTGTGTGCAGTTATAACTTCCCTACCAGAACTTATGGAACAGTAAATAGTGGTATAATACAAGATAACTACATTCTCAAAGAATCTTTCTGGATTAGCTTTTTACAAAGAACGGTCATGTTACATAAAACTGTCTACTGGGAAGGTAGAATGGAGCTACATATAAACAGTTTCAGCCATACTAACATTGAAAAGTATTGGTTTCTACTTAGTTTTAATTGTAGTAATCAATTTGTATTTCCCAGCCCTAATATTAAAAGTTGTGGGTTAAAAAAAAAAAACCAAACACAACAACAACAAACAATTGACTAGCTTAAGAAGACAATACCATTCTGAGACCCTGCAGTAATTACTACATTTTAGAAAACATTCTGACGTTTTTTGGAGAGAAGCTAAATGGTTTTAACTCCAGATGTCACCCAATTCTTCAAAGTAAAATCATTGCATGTGGTTCACTGCACATGTAATAAAATGTATACATTTTATGTGTAGTCTGTGGAATTCGTGTATGAAGAATTGCTAGAATTTAGACTCTTAAAAATGCATTAGTTGAAAAATATCTCAGTTGATTCTACTACATTTTGGTAGAGGCACACTTATAAGAAAACTTTGAAATGTTTGAAATTCCTAAGATAGCCATTTTTTCCTGTCACCATACATTTGTAAATTATCTCTGAGGGTTCTAATGTTTTATTTGTTTATTTTGGTAGCATTTTCAGGTTGATTTTGTTACAGCTCTCCCCTACAGAGCTGAACATTGGTCAGGTTAATGAAAATAACTGGAATCATTGGACAAAGAATGTCCTTAAAGTTCTGTGTCTTTTGTTTTGTTCCTCCTTGTGTCATGTATTTGCAAAAACACCAATCTCACATTGTCAAAGGGTACTGTTGCTTAGAAACTAAATGCATGGAAAATGGAGTGAATTAAGATGCTAAGGTAAGCAGAGTAAAATATAAAAACCTAGTAGCAGCTGTAACTCTAGTACTTTGTTCTTACACTATATAAAAGGGTATTTACTGATCTTATTTATTATGAACTAACAGACTGTATGTTCTGCTTTGCAGAAGTCCACAGAAGGAAGACAGGATTCCAATGGCAGATGAGTACTATGAATACAAGCACATAAAAGCCAAACTGAGGTTATTAGAGGTCCTTATCAGCAAGCAAGATGTGGCCAAAACGATCTGAGGTTCAGGAAGTGTTTATGGACACTTCCACTTGAGATAAAGTCAGGCTTATTTTCCTTGTTTCCAGCAGCTTTGACATAATGAAAATGGAAACAAATTAGTGATAAACTATGTATTTCTAAAATAACAACAAATAAAATCATCTATGAGGAGGGATTTAAAAGAGGGAAAAGAGCAATATGTAACTGCCTAACTGGGAAAAGTTGAGCCTCTTCTATGCCAAGGAGAAATTCATTGTCAATATAATGACTGCAAAATAATCTAAATACATAGCCAGGCTGCCTGTTAGAAAAAGCTTATCTAGTGTCCAAAGATTACTTACATTGAAACATGGAGAAAGAGTATGAAAAAAAAATTTATTCTCTCTCTAGGAAGGAATTCAGCTAGCAAGTGATTTATTTAAAACTTCTATTAGATTTTTAAGTGAGGAAACACCTACTTACTACCTTGTTCCTTAAGTCTGCTAGCTTTTTAGTACCTAAAATATACTAGAATGTGTCACACTAATTTTTTATTTCTATATAAAAATAGCAGTTATTTTGTCTGTAATTTGAAATTTTACATTTTTGGTTACCAAAGTTCATTCTGATAGCATGTACTTTGTGAATGATCTTTGTCTAAAATTGATAGATGTTTATATTAAAGTACCGTATTAAAATTTTTAAATTGGTATTTTGGATAGATGTGTCTACAGTATATAATTAATGTGACCATAGTAATCTGATGTTTTTATTTACAGTAAGATTAAACAACTATTTTTCCATTGGGATGATGCATTTTCTTAATGTTCCAAGGTCTGTACTTTGTAAAGTCAAAACGCTTTCTCATGAGCTGTAAGTTCTTTAGTATGCACAAAATGAAAGGTTTGTTTGCCAGGACACCTTAGGAGAGGCAGAATATATTGTTTCACCAACTTTGGTATATTTTGTATTAAAACACATCTTTTGTTTTTGTAAAAATGTTGGCATTTTCTCATGTACTAACCCTGTTTATATTTCTGTTATCTGCAATGTTTAAGCATGAAATAATTCATCTTTTCAGAGTTTGGATAGGAATATTATTGACTGTTTCAGAAGCAGACTATTTCAGAGGCTTATTGTTTTGTCTATTTACTTGATTTCTTTTGACTTTTGTGAATCAGAATAGTGCCCATAAACTTGTTTAATTGAAGTCATCTATTTGTGACAGGACAGATACACAGCTATTTGAGATTTACACATTACATCTTTGATAAAGGAAATGGTTTTGTGACATGTATACAATTACTACTAAAATGTAACTATATATTCTATGACTGTAAATATTTTATACAACAATGCAAATAAAATATTTTTCTATTATATTTATTATGTTGAAATACAGTAGTTGTTTCCTGTTAGCTAATATAAATAACATAAATAACAACGTCAAACAACAAGTTGGAAATGCTGACAATTCTAGTTTCAAGGTTTCACTCATGCTGCAATTACACCCTTTTCATGCGATTTGGAGTTATCCCAATATTTGTTCAGTAGATTAAAATGAATGCATATTTCAACACCATTTATAAGCCATTATTTTGTATTTTGCTAAAGCAGTCTATATAATTCTTTTGTTATGTTTGGCATAAAGGAAAAAAAAACATTGCAGCATCTAGGCAAATAAAGTGTCAGAAGGAGAACTTAGACTATTTTTCATCATTGAAAGTGGTAGGAAAGGTAGGAAATAGGAAGCACTAAAATGATTCATAATGAAATTTGGAAAGCGATAGTTGACATTGGTGATAGCGGTGTGTGCATGCTTCAGTGGAAACATCTGGCAATGAGAATAGACAAGAGTAGATCGGTCTTCCTAAGAGAAGAAAAGGGGCTGAGTAAGAAAAGTGGGCATTAACGTCCAACACTGATATTACAGGTTTTGCAGCTGGGATCTTTCTTGGCATTTGCAGTAGACAAACTCATGAGCTGATGACCAGTGATTTCTGCCACGGTGCCCAGAGAAAGATCCACAGGGTCAGTGTAAATGACTTCTAAAATGACATCCTGGGCATGGTGGTACACCAGAACCCCATCTTCTTCTGTACAGGTCAAAAATTTATTATCCTTGGAATTTAGTTGAGGAAGACGCAGCTTACAAAATTCATCTCCTGGTGATCCCACAGGGGCAATAACAAGAATCACATAATGATAAGCAGTGTACATACAGTAGAAGTCTCCAAAGTATAAGTTAGTATTGGGGTTAAAAAGTTTTTCTGCTGCAATTTCAAACCTGTATCTTCCATAAGGTGAATCCTGGGGTGGCTTCCCAGTATTGAATTCAGTGCTGCAGCTGAAGAAGATGCCTTCTAATTTTCCACTAATAGGAGAACCATGGCTGCCACTGTTATCTTTGACAGAAGGCTGCATAGCATTCCCATGATGTTCTCTGCAATAGGAAATAAATGGTTACTACAAAGTGTAATTGTGGTAAACCTAATAATTTGTAGAAAACGAAACTCACCTTCTGGTTAAATATGTGGACTGTTTCTTTAAAGTATGCAAGAATTTGATAAAATGAGTGCAGTCCACTTGGCAGAAAAATGCTTTGTTTTGGGTTTGTTACCCAGGCACAGTTGAACTGGGTTAACTTGCCATTTTACCTAAAGTTGTGCTGATCCATCTCCTTCTACCTCATCCTTTTTTCCATTTTCCATCGTTCTTGTCTTCCATTATGGCCTGAGACTGCATTCCATTTCTTGCTTGTCTCTATTTCCCTTTATTTCACATCTGCTAGTGGGAGGCACCAACAGATCTAGGAGGGCAAACACGGCTGTGTTTTCCTCCACTTCCTCCACGCTTCTGAACCTTGCTGCCCCGGCAGGGCTGGATGCTTTGATGACCGTCTAGCTACCGTTCCTGCTGGGTGGCCTCTAAATGCTCTTATTTCCAAGAATAGTAAAAATGTTCCATTCTTGATCATTTCTCGTTGACTTAACTTTTTTAAAAACTCTAGTCCTGCTTATACCTTTGGAAACAGCAGATAAATTCTCCAGAATCCCCTGAGTGTGCCATTTTCTCTTGCAGGATTCCAAATTTTGGATGAAAAATTCAAGCTACCACCTGGCCGAGCAAAAGTTCCCCCAGGCAGGATGCTTCTTACAAATTTTGAGTCAATGAGGTATGCCACTGACTTTAGAAAAAACAATTTGAGACCCATTGCAGTTCTAAAGATATCTTGGAGCTCACTGAAATGCATATTCAGGAAAAGACTTAAAAATAGAAACAACACATAGGAAAATAAATGAGAAATAAGTGTGGAGTGAAAACATGGATGAAACTAGTTTTTCTGTTGTTCTTCCTACTGATGTTTCAAGATTTCTTCCTTGTTTGCTTCACCCTTCAGAAACTCTTAACCATTTTAGGGTAGTTATGCTAGTGACAGATTCCCTTAGCTTTCCTGTGTCTGAGCATATCTTGAGTGCACTGTCTTTACTAAAGGGTAGTTTCATTGCATGTAGTAACCTGGGTTGGTAATAGTTGCTCAGCAATTGAAAAGTTTGCATTTTTCCCCTAACTTCTGATTTTTTGATGGTGATATTCGAAATTTTTTTCCATAAATACCTTTTCTTTCATGACTTCCAACATTATTTTCTTAGTTTTCAGCTTTCAGCAGCTTTTGATGTGTCATAACATGGCTTTCTTTGCATCTATCCCATTTGAAGTTTTTCCAGTTTCAGTGTTTAAGTTTACATTGTTTGGCAAATTTGGGAGCACTGCAGCTGCTAATTCTAGTCAGGAGTAAGCCGACAGACAGAACATCTCTTTCTCTGTTTTTCCTTCTCTGTTGCTCTGCCTTTCAAATGCAGATAGAAATCATTAAATTTGATTTCTAATATATTTAAATATAAATATACATGCAGACAATACAAATGCAGATAGAAATCTAAATATAAGTATATGTAAATATGATATACTTAAATAATATATTAATATATCTATATAAATACTTTATATATTGTTAAATATTTGTATTTAATGTAATTCTAAATATATTTTAGAAAATTCAAGCAAATATATAATATATAATCACATATTTTATATATGAATATAATATATTCAAATAAATATATTAGAAATCATCAAATATATATAAACATATAAATATATATATTTAACGATTTCTATCTGCATTTGAAAGGCAGAGCAACAGAGAAGGAAAAATGGAGAAAGAGATCTTCTGTCTGTTGGCTTACTCCTGACTAGGCTGAAGCCAGGAGCCAGTAACTTCAACCCGAGGTCCTCTAAGGGCAGGTAGAGGCCCAGGCACTTGGGTCGTTTTCCATTGCTGTCCCAGGTACATCAGAGCAGGAAGCTGTTCTCAGGCAGGGTAGCAGTGAGTGAACTGTACTCAGGTATGGGAGCAGCATTTCAACTTGTCACACCACAATGCTGGGCCCTCTATGGATAACTTTTCACTCTGAGTTTTTCCTTTCCATCTTGACTGAGGTTAGGAGTATGAGATCTGCTTTGGTACCACAGATCCACGAGACTGCTTTTCACCTCCAGTCAGTTATATCCCTGTTTGTTCTGAGTTCAGGCAGCTTGTAGTCTACCTTCAAGTTAACTGACTCTTTTGTTTTTGTACTGTGAATTCTGATATTGGGTCTACTCGCTGAGTTATTTACTTACTAAAATTTTTCAGTTCTGAAATATACATTTAGTTCTTTATAGCTTCCATTTCTTTGTTGCTTCTTTTAAGAATTTATTTATTTGAAAATCCGTTGCAGGGTCGGGGGAAAGAGATAAACATATTCCATCTGCTGGCTCATTCTCCAGATGGCTGCAATGGCTTAGGACTAGGCTACTGACCCCAGGAGCCTGAAATTCCATCTGGGACAACCACATGAATGGTACAGGCGTTAGGGGGTCAGATACTCATTGCTTTTTCCAAGTGCATTAGAAAGGAATCTGACCACAAGTGGGGCAGCTGGGACTCTAACAGGTGCTCTGCTAAGGCATACTACCATCTCAGGGGACAGTCTGACTCGAAATACCAGACCTATGGTTCCTCCTATTAGCCTTTTCATGGTGGCTGTTTAAACACCTTTGTAGATAATTACAAGGCCTGTGTTACCTTATTTATGCCTTTAGCCATCTTTTGTTATTCAATTTGCAGTGTTCCTGTTGATATAATCAGTGAATTTCAGTTGTATCTTGGAAATACTATCTTGGGGTGGTATGTGAGGAGATTATGGATTTTAGTATTTTAGCAGATGTCTCCTGACATGTTCTAGGGAGCAGAAGTACACAGGCTGCCATGCTATTCCTGTCAGAGAGGATAAAAGCCCAAGTCCCTACTTAGCCTCTAATGACACGGGGTTGAGAGGGGATTACAAGAGAAGGTAGAGGTTCCCATTAAAGCTCCATTAACAAAGTCTAGCTAGGAAAGGGTGGAAGTATATGTTCACCTCTTGGATTTGGCTGGTAGCTGTGGAACCGCAGTTCTTTCTTGCAAAGGTATTTGGCTAGAAGACAGTGGCTGTTACCTATAGTCGACACAGTCCCTTTCCTGGTTCTTTGTGTAAAGATGATATTCTTTTTGTTTTTGTGCTTATAGACATCCCTAGACATCCAGACTGTCATTGTGTCTGTCTTTGAATCTCAAAGTCATCTTATATCTTTTATATAACTTAAATCCAGGATTTGAAACTGTTAGTAATGGGAAGAATAGAGAAACATTTCTATTCCATATGTCTCATTTCTAAAACTCAAATAATTATA